AGAGAGAATTTGTTAGCACAGAATGCAGCTTGGAGCATGCTGATGTAAAACTTCAGTCCAAGAGAGAGACCTTTTGAGTTGCTGAAATGTAGTGGAGAGGAAGAAGAAAATTGCTGTTTTACATGATTGACCAAAATGCACTGTAATTATATCAACTTGAAACAGATTCCTTAGAAGAACTGATAACTCTGTGATCACAATAAGTCATGTGCAGTGGAACTAAATACTGCATGTACTTTCTCTGAAGAGTGTAGACACGCAGTATGTGAAATGTGCAATAGGAGAGACAGCTATTCTTGCCTTAGCCTGTTTAATGGGACCTCCAGCTGCTTCAGCAGTAAAGAGTGGTGCATAGACCTTACTGAGGAATTAGTATTTACCATGCCTCGCATTGCTCGACAAGGCTGTTGTGGACGCTCCTCATGTAATGTTGCTTTGATGTTGCCACTCCTGTTTGTAATTAGCATAGCATCACTCATCAGACAGTCAGCTTCTAAATGGAACCCTCCTCAAGGATTCCACTGACTGTCTTTGCTGCCTGCTCCAATGTGGGTGGGGAAAGTTTAGTCACAGATATTTAGCCCAAAGATAACCTTCCTGTTTTCCCTCTTTAATCCAGTGTCTCTATGTCATATTGTTTTCTGTCAGCCACAGTCCACCCATAGATCATCTCCAATAAGAGTGATACTAGTGTTAATTCAGTATCAATAAAACTCATTGGCTGACATCTGATATTCCAAAACACTATTCCTAAACATATTCCTTGCATATAGTAATCATCTATTTGCACCTAACTCCTTCACCTTACCTATAAGTTTAGAGACATGGAAGCATGGAACAGACTGATGAAACTCAGAGGGGAGCAAGGTAAGGGGGGCAAAAAGAGATTAACCAAAGGAAAAAAAAAAATATATATATATATATATATATATATATATATATATATATATATATATATATACACACTAGAGGCCCGGTGCATGAAATTTGTGCACAGGTAGGGTCCTTAGGCCTGGCCAGCGATCAGGGCTGATTTGTGGGGCAACCAGTAGGGTGATTGAGGGTCTTCCACTGGCACCTGCCTTGGCTGGCCTGGCACTGCCCACTCGCCGGCCCCACCCCCTGCTGCCACCGCCAGTGGCCTCCCTCTGTGGGGTGACCTGTGGGGCAATCAGGGGGGCCCCTGCTGGCACCCGCCTTGGCTGGCCTGGAGCCTGCGGGCTGGGGGCAGCTCCTTCATTGAGTATCTGCCCCTTGGTGGTCAGTGTGTGTCATAGCGACTGGTCATTCCACCGGTCATTCTGCCATTTGGTCAATTTGCATATTAGGCTTTTATTATATAGGATGCACTAGAGGCCTGGTGCATGAATTTGTGCACAGGTGGGGTCCAGCTGGCCTGCCCCCGATCAGGGTGGGGGGGGGAGCAATTGGGGGTGGGGCTGGCTGGGGGGAGGGACTGTGGGTGGTTGGCTGGCCAGCCTGCTCCCTGGTTGAACTCCCAGTCGAACTCCCAGTTGAGGGGACAATTTGCAGATTAGCCTCTTATTATATAGGATAACCCATGGACACAGACAATAGTGCAGTGAAGACCTGGGGGTGGGGGATGGGAGCAGAGTAGAGGGAGTCAGTGGGGGCAAAAAGGGAAAGGGCATCAGTAATATTTTCAACAATAAAGATAAATTTTTAAAAATAATAATAATAAAGGGCAGGATTATGTCTTACTTCTTTATAATGCCTCAAATAATGGAATGCCTAATACATAGTAAATGTTCAAGAACTCTTTTCAACTTAATAAATAGTGGATTGGAAATACCATCTGTTGGATTCTGAAAAAAAGAAAGAAATTGCAACTAGTGAGTGAAGTGCTTAGACTTCCAATGGCCAGATTAGATAACTAGTTAATTATGAAATAACTGTAGTACTGTGTTTGTCTTTGCTTAAGCCAACAGAAGGCCTGCCTTACCCAAGCGCGTGACATCATAGACCAAGCTGGTGCCTCTACCCCGGCAGGACACTTTCAAGCATTGCTTCTGCCCTCTGCTGACTGTCACAGTCCCTTCTGGGGCCAGAGGCACACAACTGTGAAGTGGCCCTGCAGAGTTAGCTGAAGTGCTCAGCTAAGGAGCAGGAAAAATTCAAATGACCTGTATTGGACTTTGACTTTTATCTCCTAAATACCCTCCTCTACCCCTCTCAGCTCTCCACCCACCCTGAGCAACTGAATGCCACCTGCAGCGTGCTGTAGCACCTGCCCTGAAGGAAGCTAGCAGTTGCCAGTTGCTGTGATGGGGTCTTTTCCCTCATTTCTCTTGAAAGGTCTTTTCCTCACTGGCCTTTGTTCCTCCCTCCCCCCACCTGACATGCTTTCTCCTAGCTTGCTCTTTCACTTCTCTGAATCCTACAGGGCCAGCTCAAATCCTTTCTCCTTCTTGAAATCCTTTTTGGTCCTCCTCAGGAAGTGGTAATTGCTCCCTCTGATGAACACCTGGGCACATGGTACTGATGCTACTTGACATTTTGGATATACTGCTAATTATGTTTTCTCCTTTGTTTGTTTGTTTATTGTGCTTCTTGAAAAATAATGTCCTGGGTTTTGTAAACTCTGTAGCATTTTATTTCATATGGCAATTTTTTAAAATACTTAGTCATTTGAAAGAGAAGCATCTAGAAAAGAATTTGACAGAGGTAAACACACAATAAAAATTATTATAAGTGAGAAAAATCTATGAGCATGTGATGCTTTTGTAATATACAAAATATTTTCAAGTTATTTTCTTAAAAGAATAGTTAGCCCAACCAGTTTTGCTCAGTGATTGAGCATCAAGCTATGAACCAGGAGGTCACAGTTCAATTCCCGTTAGAGCACATGCCTAGGTGTGGGCTTGATCCTCAGTAGGGGGTGTGCAGGAGGCAGCTGATCAATGTTTCTCATCATTGATGTTTCTAGCTCTCTCTACTCCTTCCTCCCTCTCTGAAATCAATAAAAGTATATTTAAACAAACAAAAGAACAGTTAGAGAAGAGTCTTAGACTTCCCAACTAGACATAAGGAAATGTTTCACACTCAGCAATGAATATAGGTTACACATATGCAAATCAGAAATGGAGATTCTGTTCTATCATCTACATGCAGTAGTTCAGAAATACCAAACATGGTCCATCTATTTGAACACCAGATCATGTTCTTGATTCTAGACAGAACGGCTTACTGAGTCTTCTAGGCCAGTGGTTATACACACACCAGATGCACATCTGGATCCAGACTAGTTTAAATGACTTAGCTGTCCTGGTCCACTATCTTCTGATAAGCTTCACGCAATTTAAATTGTATAGATATAGTTCTTGCCTAGAAACAAACCTTTTAAAATTTTCATGCTAGTAATCTTATAAGTTTGACAAGCAAAACCATTATGAAGATGAGTATCTAAGGCATTTTAAACTTTGACAATGGTAGGTCTAGGGCTGTGGAATATTACTTGCCAGGTTGAGGGAGATTGAAAGGGGTCATGTTGAATATATTATTTTAAAAAGGAAAATTATTTTAAAAGAAAGAGTATTACCCAACAAATTCATCCATTTTATTACATTTCTGTTGCCACCATTCATATTCTGACATTCTTATCTTCACCTAGACTATTGTGTTGCTTTCATGTTCTGCCCTCCATGCTCTCCTTCTAATCCACCCAATGAAGCAATAACTATTTTTTATGGATTTATATGTGCCAGGCACTCTGATGAAGGCTTAATTCCCTCATTTCAGAATGGCTAATCTCCTAAACAATCACATTCAACAACTCTCCACTTTAAAAAATCCTTTCCAAACTTATCACATACTTGTTTTGTTCATATGCTCAGCCTCTTCAATCAGAGTAATTATTCACTCTTTTCTGTGATATATGTATCAGTTTTCAACATAATTCCTGGGGGTCTAGAAATACAAAATAAATCACTCTTAGAGGAGTAGAAGTTGTGGTCCTATCAAAAATGCAACAATCTGAGAAAAACATCTCAAATTAGAGAATATAAGAGGTGCTTTTGCAAAATTTTAAAAATGCTTGCTAAAATTATGGAGGACAGTACAGAAGGGATATGGGCCTTAATTCAGAATTGGGATAAGGAAGTTAAACACAAGGAGTAGGCAGACTAAAGAAACCTGACAACAGAACAACTGGGGTGTCAGGAAATGAAAACACTTGTCATAAATTTCTTCTTTAGAAACAAACCCCAGGGTAAAATACAAAATTACCCTCATACTGAAAACTTCCATATTTTGAAGGTTAGAGTTCCAAGATGCATGATCATACCCAAAGAGAAGGAGAAAAAAGAATCTAGCATTGCAAAATGGGACACTTTTTTGAGCACCAATTGTATGCAGAGCCTTGTACTTCTGTAAAGATCCAGGTAGCCTGAACTGCCCACAATGACCAATTGCTCCACCATGAAGGAGTGAGAGTCACCTGGATCACACTGCAGTGCCAGCTCTCACTCTGAGCACAGGCCCCTCCCTATCTGCCAGAATGAATTCCAAATTCACAGTCAGGATCCAAGTTAGGCCACATTAGCTGCTCTGTATTGTTAACCTTTGTCTTAACTTACCATCAAGGAGCACTAATTAAGATAAGAAATAGAGCTACTTCTTTATTTCACATGCATCTTCAGATTTCTGAATTATCCATTAAAGCAATCGATGACATCTGTGTATGTTTTTCACAAAAGAGAAAAGCATGCATGCCTCAGGGTGCATCTGTCTGGCTGAGCAACAGATGGGAAAAAACCTCTTTCTACAGTTTCTATTAAAGTACAGAGAAATACAATAATTTAAAGGTTACAAAAATAAGGTAAATGGTCTATAAAAATAAATCAATAAACTCTATAGCAAAAAAATAATATTTTTGGGTTAATCTGAAAAGGCTGAGTTGCCTAAGATGAAAAATGAGAAAAACCATTTGGCAAAATCTTTAACTTGGATTTTTTTGTGTGTGTATTTAATTTTGTTTTTAGGTTCCAGATTCAGAGATGTTCAACTGATCCAAACAGTTACAAAAGCTTAGGAGACAGCTTTCGAACAATTTTCCGAACAGAAGGGTATGTATGGTTCTTCATATATAGACTCTATGTTATATATTTAGGCAATTAAATATATTACTACATAACACATTTTCTCATTTTGAATGGGATATTTTCCTAGTCTTATTAGGTGAAAATGTGTAAAGGAGTGCCTTCCTACATTTTGATGTTGTTCTTGATAATATGATTGAAAATTAAATATGTGTACAACAGGAATTACCATAAAAAGAATAGGAATACAATAGAAACGACCATAAAAACATCAGTTGGATGTTTGATGACTAGAGGACAATTTCTAATTTGTGCCATGAAGGCTTTTTAGGGTTCTCAATAACTGGGCCTATGTAAACTTAACAGTTCCTTATTTTTATTCTTAAATATATTGCTCAAACATGGTCCTTGTTTGTATTGTGATTTACAAATATTTGATCAAAACTGATCTACATCAGAAATTGATGTGTCAAATTCATTAGCCTGTTAGTTGAACAAATAATACAATATTTTGATTATATAAGCTAAAATTGTCTTTGATGTATAAATTCAGTTAAAGACTTTATCCAGCATAATCTTCCAAAGGATATTAGATTGCATTTTTTGAAGTTGTTTTCATAAGAGAATTGATTGAAAATAATTATAGAAAAGAGGTAACAGTAGTACTAATAACTAGTATATTTAGCCTCACTATGTACTAGAAATTCTCCTTATAACTCTGAGAGGTAAGTCCTATTAGAATCCATTCCAGGTGGACAAAAGAAGAAAGCAAGACTCAGAGAAGTTAGTAATTTTTACATATCCGGTAAGCAGTGGAGCTGGGACTCAAATCTAGGGCTACTTGAGCCCAACACCCATGCTGCTAACTGCTATAGTTCACTATCTCTCTTGGCAGCTTGTCCTTAGATACTGTTCTGCTAATTGTTTATTTCAGTTAAATATATATCATGAACATCTTTCCATGCCAGTATATTCTTTTCAACAACAGCATAGTAATTTATTTATCTACCTGCTGCAACTTATTAAATTAATCCTTTTTGTGGACCATTAGGTTGTTTTCAGATTTTCACTCTTATGAACAACAGTGCAGTAAATATTCTTGGTTGTTTTGTATATGCAAAAAATGAATTTTGCATATGTGTATACCTATGTATATATTTCTATAAAAAGAAGATATGGATTTACAGGATCAGATGTTACCAAATTATCTTGCAAAAAGGACGTAATGATTTCATACCTTTAGTGTTTGAATTCTCATTTTTCATACCGTCAAACCCTGGGCATTATAACCATTATTTGTCATATCTGTCCCTCACATGCATCTCTTGCTTATTCTCTAACAGGTGAAAAGTAAAACTATAGTATTCCTTTGATGTAATGGGAATTAAGCATACTTTTGTATCATAAAGTATCATTTCTTTCATGAATTGCTTATCTGTGTCCTTTGCCCATTTCTGTTAGGTGATTTTTTAATTGATTTGTAGGAGCTCAGCATATTATTGTAGGTGCTAATCTTTTGGCTATTACATATAATGCGAATATTTTTCCTAACTTGTCATTTTTCTTACAACTATAGTCTTACACCTTTCAAAAGTTTGTATTTTTTGAAGATTGTGATTATATCTGTCTGTTTTGCTTTGTAAAATTTGCTTTGCCATTTTGATGTCAAATTTACATATAAAAAGAAGGTCATCCCCTAATCCCAAGATTCTAAACATTTTCTTCTGATACTTTACATTTAAATCTTTTATCCATATAAGAATATTTTTTCATGTGCAGTGTGGTAGATAGGAATTAAATTTTATTTTCAAGTGGTTTGACTATTGTCCAAACACCACTTGTTGAAAAATCCATCCTTTACTCACTGTTAAACTTTCACATATGTCATCTAATTTTCCTATTCTGTTTCTCCACTTCCTGTTCTGTCTTATTAATTTATCTATCTCTATGCCGGTATCATACTGTTTTCATTTTTTTATCTAGAGTATTTGGGAATATGTGAAAATATGCCCTCTTCATCATGGTGTGCAGAGCCCTTCTAATGTGGCATCCCTTCTTCTCCAGGCTCATTTCTCATTCACACATTTGCTCCAGGAATAGCAAACGTTTCCACCCCCTGCTCTCTCACACTCTCACACTTTGCATGCTATTCCCTATTCCTGAAGGACCAACCCCCTAATCCACACAAGAAACTGCAGCTCCTCATTCCAGGGTGTCCTCAGTTTCACTCTCTCTGACCGTCTTTTCTCTACCACATGCTTTCTCTATGAGTCTTTATTTACATATGCTATATAAAACATAGTATGCATTGCCCTGATTTATTGTGTTCATTTTCTGTTTCCCCTCTCCCACCTCAAGAATGTATTTCCCGAAAGGCCATGTGTCATTTAGCTCTGTATCCCTGAGGCCTGTATTTGGCACTGAGTAGAGACAGTAATTGCGCAATGAACAAATGAATGAATCACACCAACATCGTAATGTTTCAAAATGAAACAGAGATGATAATTCTTACTATAGACCACCCCTCTTAAGTTATGATAATAATCTTGACGCCTGATTAAATATTATGAGGTCACCTAGTGACATAGGATTGGCAAGTTCTTGCTGTTACACCGGTGATGTGATACCTAAGTGTCATACATTGATAGTGTACCTGTTTTATAGCAATTCGTATCAAAATTATGCTCATTTTACCCAAAACATATGTAAAGAAGTCATAGTGTATTATGGAATCAATAAACGTGTCTCTTTCCAGTAAAACAGTAGTGTCAGCATTGCCAAGTTCTGTAAGCTGTAACAGATATCTCTGAATTAGATGTGGGAGTTCCTTAGCCAGGCTCTTCATTTCATGTGTGTTTTAGGAAGAATTTGATGTTTTTGCTTTGATATCAAATAATATAACAAACATACAGTATGTGTGGTCCTTGCATAGTGAAATTGGCCTTTTCCTAGTCTGTATGTATAATTGCTTCTACAGCAAATTGGCATTCTGTCTGTACTGCCGTTAGATATGGGCATGCTGTTAGCCAAAAGCCAGAACACTCCTCTCTTAGAGATGGAAATATTTGTAAGAGAAAAAGCTGCCTGTTATGTTTGATACAGAGTAAGAGCATTTCATTGCCTAAGGTTAAAAAGAAAAGAAAGCCTTTAAACACATACCGTGTTGAATTTTTTTGCTAGCAAAGGCAGTTCCTTTTGATTTTCTTACTTAGCTTTTAGAGTGCACTGAGCTTTCAAAGATGTTCTTGTCACTCAGGTACATGGAGACCAGTTGGTCTGTGGTCCTCAAGGAGGAAGCACGAGTCCATTTGACTATTAGCACATTTAGGAGAATTCCTGTCTCCTGGGTTTTCCTATCTCCCTCCAATTCAAGGTTTTGAAAGCTAGTCCTTTTATGTCGTTAGAAAACATTAAACTCTGTTAAGACACTTAGAATCTGCACATATATCCCATCTCCCTTCTGTAAGAAAGTGAAGTAGTGGTTCTTAGGGATGCAATTCTGCACCTCTCTGCCCAGAATTCACATTTCCTAGAGACAATAGCTCAGTCACCAGGTCCAAAACCCTTTATTGTTTCTGATCTTCTTTTTCTTCATAAAATCATAGATATATTGTACTTCTATTAAAGACATAGTTTTTTCAACCCAGCTTTACAGAGGTGAAAATAATTTAAGTAAAAAAATAAATACCTTCCAAATTCTGAGTAAGGACTTTCATAATATGAAATCATCATGTTTAGTTAGATTTTACCAAAGAGGCCATCACTGTTTTATCTAAAAAAGAAGAGAGAACTCAGAGGAAAGGAATGTGTCACTGTTGAGAGTACCTCCTTTGTCACCATGATCCTTCTTCTTTCTCTGGTTTAACAAAAATAAATAACTAGTCCATCTACTGTGATTGTGAGCCCAGAGAGACACAAAGATTTAGCTTAGTTGATTAGGTGCCTTTAAAACCAATAAGGTTTGTTTTGTACTCTCCTAGCCAAAAGTGGCTGGTGTCTCTGTTACCGTGAGTTCATGCATCATGCCTCACTTCCAGTTCCAGAGTCTCTCATGGATGTTTTTCTAGTTTCTTTCATATTTGTCCTTCCTCTAAAGCAAGTGATTGAGATGCTAAAAACAAACAAACAAACAAAAACTACCTGGGACTGCCTACCTCCTTACTCCCCCTCCTCTGAAATTGCCCAGTGGCCATTCCTCCTGAAATAAAGAGGGGGGAAAAACACGTGTTAAACAGAACTTAAGATATTCTGGTGACATACGTAAAGACAAAAAAGAGTGCTTATTTTCTTCAATGTACAGGCACTATGCTAGGGACTTTGTTATTCATGATTCTCAACAATGCACCGTTCTCAACTCAACACAGCATCATTATGTCTGTCTTTTGTATGAAGTAACTGAAGATCTGAGAAATAAATAACTTGCCCGAAGTCACCCGGTGTTAGTGGCATACCATGGTTTTTTCCTTACACTCTATCTGTCACTTTTCACTAAACACCAAGTTTTGTTGGTATTTATTAAATGTAAAGAAGATAGTGTGGAAGTAGTGGCTATAAAACCCCAACTTTTAAATACCTTTGGTATATACCCTCCCTCAAATCACATAGCAATTTAGAATAGCTTTAATCTCCTTCTTCAAGTGAAGTCTGCAAGCTCTGAGAGACCAGTATATGTTCAGTCAACCAAATCTTGTTGATTCTGAGGCAGCACCACAAATCTCTAACAACTCAACACTTAATCCGATCATTGCCCCATCCCTGGCAGACAGCTCCCTCTCTCTGAAAAATGCATGGTTTTCCATCAGTCTATTCTCATCCTGCATGCTCTTTAGTTTTCTTATGAGAAAAATTCTCAGGCATTGGTTTGCCCAAGGCAAATAACTAGGAAACAACTAGTTCAGATTAAACTTAGTTTCAAATGAGAAACATGTTGATTGCTGGTGCCTTCAGAAATACAGTATTCTTCAGAAAGTAGAAAATATGTGGTTGCATTTGGGGGGCATTTGAACTGTGTTTTGTTTCATGATTTG